GGAGGGCCCAGCGCCCGGGGTGGGAAGAGAAAGGGATGTGGTTAAAATGTCACTTTGTAGAAGTGCTGAGGTGCCCCGTGTGTATCGTGAGTCACAAGCTGTATTAACGCAGCAAACTGCTCTGCTTTTAGAAATGGTGACAGGAACCTGCTAGAAAAGCATTTGGAATGACCTAAGTAAGTGTTAATCTTGGGTTTTTCAATACTTATTAAGTGCTTACTATAAAACAGGCCTTAAATTCTCCTTGTTCCCCTTCCATGGCTGTGGGAGCGACAGGTTTCAGCTAGCAGCGTGTGTCCTAAAGTCCTGTTCTCCCAGAGCGCCACAGGAGCCCCACTGCTGGCTGTAGCCTCTCATGGAGCTGGGGCCCTCTGAGACAATTAACTCCCTGAAAGTGCTTAATTAAAAGCATGCTTAAACTGCAAACCCTTCTTTTGCTGTTAGTTGAGCAAGTTCTGTAGCGAGTTTGTGTGCATCTCTGTGGGATCAGCTAGACATGGCCGATTGAAAGGAGACGAACCCACAGGGCACACTGGACTTGGGGGCGCTTCTGCCAAAGGATACTTGCTATTGATGCAAGAAGTTTAGATGAGTTTAAGGGAAGTACTTGGAAAAGATGTGCAGTGGTGGTTACTAAATGTACAAATCCCAAGGTAAGGCAATCTCCTCAACTGAAAATGGCTGGAGTGTGCGGGAGCATTAGGGAATTATTATACAGGCTTGCCCTGTTCTTGCTTTTCCCTAGGTGTCTGTTAATGGCAACTATTGGAGATGGGGAGAACCTTGATGTGAATCAGTATGGCTGTTCTAAAATTCTCTACAGGGAGTTTTTGCTTGCTTGGCACTAACCTCAGGCTACAGATTCTGCTAACGGGAAAGGAAACACAGCATAAAATGAGACATGAGACCAAACAGTGGCTCTTTATCATGAGCACCTGCTGGGAATGCCATTTGCTACTCTCAGGCAGAATGTTTCTTCTACACATTCTCCCTGAGATTTTATCATTTTAGTGCTGAGCACTTTTCATTTCTCTAGTAAGTGGAGGTTCTCTGACCCAAATGAATGGAGGAAACAAATACTATTACTTAAAAAGCTGAAGAGACCCCAGAATTACAAAGGTTGCTTAAACTCGAAGGGAAATTGTCCTTATAAACAAATGGTTTTATGCTGACTGTCAAGCAGCCATTAAGCATCCTGAATTGATACCAGCAGGAAAGCCTTTCTAAAGTAGCTCCATGATCTAAGTCACAAGTGTCCCACTGAAATTAAAGGGACTTGTCCTCTTTGTTATCTTAGCGTAAGATAAACAGGAGTTTAAGCAAATCTTGCACCAGGCCTGAAAAAAAAATAAAATGGAAAGAACCTGACAACTCTACTTTCAGTGATTGTGCTTTTATTTCCTTGGAACCACATTAGTGTATCTTTCTTTAAAATTCACAGTACAAAACCACTGCATATCTGAAAAGGCAAACTCATGCTATCTGAGCACACGACATGCTCTGTGCATTATTCTACTCTGTATGGCTGTGTGTATTCTTTAAAACTAATCATACTTTTCTGAACTATAAGAAGCAGTAAGCTCACTCAGAAAACAAAGGTCTCAAACAGGTTCTTCGGCAGGAAGAATTCCACTTGTTTACTCCTTTCTTAGGAAGTTTCTAAAGTGTATATACACGTTAATTACAGTGTCAACAAAAATGTTGTTTACATTTCCTAGCGGCTTACTTTAGTAAGACTTTCAAAGCACATTATCAATATTTGTTTTTCAAAAATCTATAAAATATAGACTCTTTGTAAATTGGTTCACACTTTCATTATGAACAGGAGCTCTGAGCAAGTCTTTGATGAAATATAAACCAGTTCTTCTGTAAGTACTTTCTGGGTGATAGTTAGAAGCAGTTACACTGCTGTATGTCTGTAAGTACAAAACAACTTGTTTGTAGTCCGTATTTTGCTTCTCATAATAGAACTTTAGCAATATTTAATTTTAATGAAATAAACCAGCATTAGTTGGTAGGACACAAGTAATTTAATCTTGAATACAACAGTAACAAATACACAAATGTATCTACCTAAGATTTGTTTTCACCTTTTCATCTACCTCGTCTGGAGTATCATCATTAACATGTCGGACAACCAAATTGTACGGTTCCTCCTCCATTGTCTCTTCATCTGATTTCTGTCCCTCCTCCAAAGCCCATTTGGAACGTTTGCTTCCCGTGGAGGAGACAGGAGAATGTTCTGCATCTAAATCGTCAGGGATGCTGTCGAAATTAGCTTCTGCCAGACACTTATGGCACAGTCTGTAGCGTCTTGTTCCTTGCTGAACAACACATCCTGTTAGTTCAGTTACGTGACGCTTGCATTTTCTGCAGATCAGTTTGCCAGCTTGATGTATCTAAAGAGATTTAAAATTTGAAAATGTCAGTGTTCATCCAAAAGCAGATTTTTTTTATTTACTTTTTTTTTTTTTTAGAAAAAGAAAATTCACTGAATCATTCTAAAATACAAAATTTAAAACATAATTTGCCAATTTAAGTAATGAACAATTAATGTTGATATGCAGCTAGGAAGCTTTTCTGGTATTAACTCTGGAAATAACTGAACAGCTGGTACCAATGACATCTCGTGGTTTTTTTCCTAGGCTGAACCTCCGAGGGAGGCAGCGTACCGTTTGGAAGTGGTTGCGCAAGTGCTCTAGTCGGGTGAACCTTTTCCCACACACTTCGCACGGGTACGGCCGCTCCCCTGTGTGACACCGAAGGTGCCGCTTCAGGTCTGCGCGTCGTTTCACTGTGTGCGTGCAGAAGGGGCATTTGAATCGCATCCGAGGGAGGTCATCTGTTACGGAGAGATACAGGTAAAATGTCAAGTAGCAGTAGTCTTTATGTAGTAGTTTGATTACTTTTCAGCCTAAATAAGCAGCAGTTCATTTTTCCTCTGGTCTGTCACTAAATATAATCCCCCAAACCCAGTATTTCTTACTGAACATGTTAAACAGGCATTTGATAGCATAGTTTTTCTTACTCGGGGTATTTTTTAGACATACAGATGATCAGAAACACATAGCTATTATACAGAGTCATCGTATCAGACTCCTCCATCAGCTAACAGTTCACAGCTTTGACATTTATAATGTCTATGTAATACACTGGGATGCCCAAAGTCTTAAAACAAATGCACATCAGAATACACCTGTCAACTTTATTCCACTATCTCATGTGCTGTCAGTCCATCAAGAGCTTACATGCTTTATGTTACGTGGCCAAACAGTCATGAACTTTGGGCTGGTTTGGACCGTAAGGGAAATGCAGCGTCCCGCCAGTGACAGGACCTTCTCTTGTGAAGGACTTAGGCTGGATTTAGGTTGAATGCCTTTACTACAGCCAGGTATTGGGGACATTACAAGAGAAATTCAGTCCTTCAGGTCCCCAAGTCAATTACAGCTCTTGAGGCTTCATTAAACTCCACTTGGGTCCAAATACTCTGCCGCGTATTAACTTTACAGAATGCCTGGATCGAGCTCTCCGACTCCAATCCTCTTGCCTTGTTCTGGCTTCAAAGCCTCTCATTCTGTTAGGCACTAGAATCAAGTAGATCAAGAAAATAATCTGCAGCTCTAGGCATCATTTTGATTTTCATGCAGCCATACAAATTCTCTCCAAAAGATCACCTGAATTCTTCCAAATAAAGACAAAGGTTGCAAAACCATCTGTATTTTTTACCTTCATTCCAACTACTCATTACCCCTAAAATTGTGGGCATTGAGGTGTACAGTTCTTCTGCCTTTAATTCCACGAACTCAGGAGTTCTTGAGAGTTCTTGTTCGAGCTGAGCAACAGACCACCTCTTCGGTATCACTTCTGATTCGTGATTATATCCGTAATCATCGTGATCAACGTCATTCTCAGCATCAAATTCAACCTCCTCTCTAACCCGAGAGATGTGGCTGGAATCTGATGCGCTGCAGCCCCCGCTGGCCCGCTCGGCTTTGCTCGATTTATACTGCACCAGATCCCGGGTCTGTGACAGTCCGAGGTGCTTTCGGCGCTTTCTGGTGCCGCCCTGTTTTCTGCCTCTCTTCGCTAGCTGCGTTTCTGCCCGCTGAAGAATCACCTGCGAGGACAGGTAGCTGTTGTAACTGCTCCAGGAATTTTCATTCACCGCATTAGCCTTGTCATCTGGGATCGCACAGGAACGCCTCGGGTTGCTCTTTGCTTTCCTTCGTGACCGATAAAGAGCGGGAGGGGCAGGTTCACTGGTTGTACTTTTGCCCGAAAGGCTGAGGTAATGATCCTTTTCCTTTTCGTTAATGTCCAGTGAGGACTTAATGAATGTCTTGCAGACGTTAAGAATATCAGTCATCTGCAGGTAGCTAGCAGCCGACATGACTTCGATCACGTTCTGACCCGTTAAAGACAGTTTGCCCGAATACACGAAGTCCAGGATAACCATAAATGTCTCTGGAGAGAAGACCTCAAAAGTAGCTGTCGTCGGCTGACTGGTCTCCTTCGAGCTCTGCGAAAGCAGCATTTTGAAATAGCCGCTGCTGGCAAACAGCACATTGCGATGTGCTTTAAAGACCTTTCCCTCCACCAGGATACTGCAGTCACAGAACAGGTCTTGCTTCCGTTGTTCGTTGAGCTGCTCCAGGAGGTGAAACTGGTGGGAAGAAATCTCCATTCCAGTCAGGGAGTGAGGAAGGCTTCTCTAAAGTAAAAAACAAGACCATCTAAACCAATGTTGCTGAATCCTGTTTTAAAGAGATGAGCTCTATTTTTAAAAACACTGCGCACGTTATCACATTCCCGATGTACCTCCAAACTCCCGGCAGCCACTCCCCCTCATAGTAACGTGAGAGAAGAAACTTAACAACTCCTGAGGAGGTGAAAAGACGCCTCGGCAGGATTACTGCGTATCCTAAAAGAACCAGGATTGCATCAAGGAAGACGTGAAGGGTGTCACGATTTGAGCAAAAGAACTCGGCCCTTGGGCAGTGCCGCGGCTGAGAAGCGAGTCCGCGCCGTCAACGAGTCCCCTGCGGGCGCAGCCCGGGCCAG